AACGGATTCCATTTAAAGTGATGCACTCGTCACCTTTCTGCCATCCTAATCGATTTCGACCCACGTGTGAAAGTTGTTTTTGCCTCCAAACACATACAGCTTGCTTCAACCGATGGATCAAGGAGTCATCAAAACATTCAAAGCTTACTATACGATGCATTCGTTTGCACATCTGAATGAAGCTATGAGGCATAGCAATGAGATAACTGTTAAAGACTTTTGGAAGCAGTTCAATGTTTTAGATGCCGCAAGAATCATTGGAAAGTCTTGAAATTTCCAAAACGGCACTGAATGGTATCTGGAAGAAATTTTGACCATTTTTTCTTCATAAACGAGACAGAGACAACGCCAAAAACTGATCATGTCGTTCATGTGATAGAAGATGTTGTTAATCTTGTCAGGCAGTTAGATATGGAAGTCAATGGTGGTGATGTCAGTGAGCTGTTGGATTCACATAGAATGGAAATGACAATTTGTGAGCACATAGAGATGCACGAGCAAAGCGTCACTGAAATATCCGACACTTCAGACCCAGTTCCACCAAAAAACATGACAGTTGCAAGCTTGACAGAAAGTCTCAGCTGAATTGAAAAGGGCTTAACAATTTTAGAAAACATGAACTCCAGACGAAGAATGCGTTATAGCTAGAAATGGAAAAATTATTAGCTTGCTACGAAGAAATTCTGCGTGAAAAAAAACAAGGCATTGTGTCGTCAGACGAATTTGTTAGATTTTATGAAGCCATTCATATCGAAATGACTTTCTTACATAACTCATTTTTAAATAATTGTATTAATATGTATAAAGAACTGCAATTTTATTTAAATATTTTTCGTCAATTTGATCCCAATTAAACAAAATTTATATGTATTTATGTTAAAATTTGTACCCGTTCTTAGGCGAATTCGACTTACATGATTTTCGTTCGACCCACACATCGCGTAACGTCGGGGTATTACCATATAGTTTAAAATGAAAGGCAGCTTCACCATGATCAGAACCACAGCGGTGGTTAACGCGTTCTACTCCCATCCGCTTCAAGATTTGTTTCGATATCAGTCGAAACAAATAAGTGCAGGAACCAGGTGCATGCACATATGCACTAAACAGAAATGCACAGAAGATGCGTAGTGTCATTCATATCACCTTTGTTAGTAAATTTCTAAGAAGTTATATCTGAACTGCTGAATAATCTTCGCTGACAGACTTATTGTGTTTTAGGACTTATAGTCCTATAGTTTCCTAGTCTGTTTATGGTCTTGTAAACATTAAAGAATGAGAGTTGCGGCCCTAGCGAGAACGACGAAATCGGACCTGAAATATCCAGGAAACCGTAATCAAGCGGATTCCACCCGGCTGATTTGAATGTACCATGATGCACTGAGCCCGGTGTGGCATTCGAAAGATGTGAAAAACTGAGATGATTGTTTCCATCATCTTCATCTTCAT